CCGTCTTGCTGCAGAACAGCTGCGCGCTGAATACACTTCGCAGACTCAGGACCCACAAGGCGGGAGGGGGAGTGGCCTTCCTGCACGTCCAGTTGCTTTCCAGTGCCCTGCCTAAACCACACACCCTCTGAGCTGCGTGCTCTCTGGTTCCCACGGGCATCTAAACACCATGGGCAGCAGAGCGTGTGCCCTGGGAGCCTTGTTCTGGGGCATCTGCTGGAAGTTGCTGGCTGGGGCCACCTGGGGTGGGAAGGCAGGGTTCCAGAGGGCTTGGTGGGGGTGGGCCAGGCTGGGTGGAGACTTGGGGGCTGCTTCCTTATCCTGATGAGTGTGGGGCACAGAGTAGAGAAAGAAAATGTTACGCATTGATTCTCCTTTATGCACCATGCACTCTGGTGAAGTTGACTGACCTTCATAGTTTTTTATCATCTCTATCAAGTGCAAGGGTCTGACCTTGTCTATGGCACCCAGGTGTTCTGAGGATAAATTATGAAATGTTTTTAAACCATAAAGAACGCTTCAGGATAAGGTGAAATGTCTTGTAGTGTAGAGGGTATCAAGTATTGCATTTTAGGATCTTTATGTATGGTGAGACGTGGTAATGCACAAATGTCTTCCACGGACGCTCAAGTCCTTGAATGGCGCAGTCTGCATGTACCGCGTGCACAGGCTGCTGCACACTGAGTCGTGCCCAGGCGGCACGCAGTACCTCGTACAGCGTGAGTGTCGTGCCCAGGCGGCACGCAGTACTTCATACGGTGTGAGCGCTGAGTGGCTCTTACAGTGTGTCTAGGGAACAAGGAAGGGCTGGGTTGAACTGGAAGATGGGCGACTAGTGGGTGGTATGGACCCTTCTGATAACCTCACTGGATTCGATTTTGGTGCCTGGGATGGAACTAGGGCCATGCACACACTAGCATGTGTTGCACCCGCGGCCTTTGCAGATGATAGCCTGGATTTGCAGTTGGTAGAATTAGCAGATGTGGAGCACTAATGGGTTATATGTTATTCAAGATATATGTCCACACCTGTCACAGGTGATGAAACTGGCTCAGAGATCGGCGTCTGCCCAGGTCACAGAACTGGGCAGTGGAGTAGCCAGTACTTGAGTCTTCTCTTTAAATCCTGGTTTCTGTGAAACTGATGGGGTCCATCAAAAGTAGTTGGTACCTTTTGGTACTAGTTTCCATCTGCTGCATTGATTTGTTCAGCAAACATTAAGTGCCTGCTGTGTTCCTGGTGCCTGGCATTTGGCGTGCTAGGTGAGTTTTGTTTGTTGTGTGTTTTCCTACAATGGCATTGTTTTCAGGGTGCTGGAGAGTGAATGTGGGGCCTCTCACATGCCAGGCGAGTGCTCTCCCACTGAGCTGCACCCCAGTCTTTCTCTAAGTAACTTGTGATGAGCTTCAAAGGCATTGAGCTTTAAAAAAAAGTCTTTTGATTTCAACCTCTAAGTCCTTGGTTTTCAGTCTTAATTCTTGTTTGACAGTCCTGTGTATGTATGTCCTGCAGTTGGCCAGAGGAGTGACCAGTGGGACAAGAGACTTAACGATGATTTCAACCAGTCGGCCAAGGGTTGTGACCCTAGTGGCATCAGATTGCTGGTGTGGTTTGCCAGGAGCAACTTGACTGACTTTCCTAGCCCATGAGCTCTGGGCTTACCTGGTGGGAGTGGAAAGCTTCAGTAGGTAATTAATTGGAACACACTTCCAGAGCCAAATGTCACTCCTTTGGCAGTGCAGGTGACAAGTGGAACATGTTTTCAGAGCCTGAGAATGCGCGTGCGTGCGTGCGTGCGTGTGTGTGTGTGTGTGTGTGTGTGTGGTGTGCTTGGGATGGAACCCAGGGCCTTGCTCACACATGCTAGGCAGGTGCTCTAGCCCTGAGCTGCACTCCCAGCCCTTTTTAAAATTTATTTTAAGACAGGGTCTCACTAAGTTGCTGAGACGGCCTTGAAGTTGGGATCACAGGCGTGTGCCACCAGAGTCTGAGAGTTAGGCGTGGGGCCTCAAGGGGCCCTGTGGGTTTCTCTCTCACTCCTGGCCCGTGTTGACACAGATGAGAAGCAGAGTTCCAGGAAGCACCTGTGGGTCTGCCCACCTCACTCCTGCCCTGCGCTTCCTGGGTGAGGGGGGTCTGTTGACGCCTCTGCTCAGGTCTCTGCAGAGGTTTGAGGGGCCAGAAGAGCAGGTGTGGCTACTCCTCCCGCCTGCTTTCCCAGCTGATCCTGAGTCAGTCTTGTGAGGGGTGGTGTGTTTGAGCATTCTTCTGAATGCTGCCTCTGCCACCACTTGGAGCCCAGGAGGCCCTGGCAGCCTGCAGCAGGTGCCACCTGAGTCATGCGTGCACTTGCCAGCACCGAGTGCCTGCCGCCTCCTGGTTCCTGGCTGCAGACAGAGGAGAGAGCTGCTGACGATGCGGTGGGGAGTGGCCTGGTGGGGAGAGCTGAGCAGGGGTGCCTAGGGGGAGAGGCCTGAGCCGCAGTGGAAGGGGCAGCAGAAGTGGTGCAGGGTGGAGAGGGCTTGAGCGGCAGTGGTGCCCACGCCCAGCACGCAGCCCAAGCGAGGCAGGTGCAGCCGTGGGGCCGCTTGACAGCTGCCAAGCACAGCTTTGACTGTGCCCTTACTGCTGGCCTCCACGTGTCCTTCCTGGGGCCCAGACTGGTGCCTGCTGTTGGTGTGCCCCATCCCGTGGCCTGCGTCTCCTCCTCAACCCTCTGAGCTTTCTCCTTAGGCTGCCAGTGTTGTCCCCGCTCTGGAAAGGTTGAGTGCTCCCAGAGGGGAGAGAGCCAGGTCTGCACCGCTGCTGGAGGGACTGAGGGAGTCCAGGGTCAGCGCTGTGAGACTGCAGGGGGTGGGTGTAGTAGCAGGATTGGAGTTGCTCCTTCCAGACCACCACAAAACATGAGTTCAGGGCACGCCAGGTGTGCACGGGGTGGGCCTGTAGGACTAGCAGCAGTGGTGGAGCATTCCAGCCACTGATCAGGGTGCACAGAGATTGAAATTTCTGTGTCCTCCATCCTGAGAGGGAAGGTGTGCTGGTCCTCTATCACGGGGGGAGAAGGTGGAGGCTCAGAGGTAAGCAGCCACCCGAGGCTGCTCACTGGTCAGGGGTTCCAGGAAGCACCTGTGGGTCTGCCCACTTCGCTCCTGCCCTGAGCTTCCTGTGTGTGTGTGTGGGGGTCTGTTGACACCCCTCCCTTCCTGGGGGTCAAGCAGAGTGGCGACGGTGCCGGGTCTGCCCCCTTGCAGCTTTGCCTTAACTCACTGTCTGCTGCTGGGTGAGCAGGTAAGCAGCCAGCTGCTCTGCTCCTCTGGGAACTTGTCCCTAGAGAGTGGCCGCGTCCAGGAAGGTTTGTGGCTGTGCCAGGCTTTGCCATAGAAGTGTCTGGACTTGTCACAGGCTGTGCTGAGTGAGCAGCTGCTGCTTCCTGCCCCTGTGTAGGCCCCTGAGTAGACTCCCCGCCTGGTGCTCAGGCCATGCCTTAGCCCAAGGGCTGCCGCCTAGAGGAACAGGCTCTGGGCCACAGGGGCTCTCCCTTCCCTGCCAGAAGCTGCTCCCTGTAGAGTGGGCTGTAGGACCCTTCATGCGGGGACAGATGAGTTGCTGTGAGATGGGTGACCCCGGGGCCAGGCACTCCAGCTGTGTGCACCGTGTGACAGTGCAGGGGGAGCTGGCCCCGTTGATGTGTTTGTCACTCCAGGCTGTGGGTGCTGCCTGGTTAGCAGCAGAGTCGGCCGGGTGAATCATGAGTCAGATTCTCCAGGTCGGCGCCGGCCGCCAGCGTGAATCCTCTGCTGGGACTGCTTTTATTGCTGCAACATGTTTCATAACTGTGTTTTGAAGAATAAAAAAGGTCAAGTTCAGAGTTGCACATTAGGCACAGGGACGGAGGGCTGAAATTAAATCTATGTGAAAAGCCACATTCCACCTGTACTTTGAACTTCCTGGGACAAGTGTCCCTAGTGAATGCTGTGCAGCAGAGGAGGCTGCTGGAAGCCTGCGAGCGGAGGTTGATGCTTTTTGCGGCCCCTGACTTTTCTGGATGTCTAGAGGAGCAACTGTAGTGTGGAGCCATCGCCTCCCTCCTGTTGGAGTCCGCTGCTGCCCTTGGCCACTGTCTGATTCGGCTCACCTGGACTGCACCTCTCCAGTCTCTGAGTAACCTCTTTATCCTGAGCATTCCTGCTCCGTGAAGTGACATCCTGCCCTTAGGGCCCAGGTCCCAGAACTTTCTTCTGCTTTTGAGACCTAAGTAATACCCTGTCACAAGAGCGACGGGATTGAAAGTCCCTCCTGAGCTCAGATCTGGGGAGGAAATGCCTGCCTTTTCCTTTAGACACTTGGGTGGCCAGCTGTCAGTCCTTGGGGTTGCTGCTGTGCAGAGGCAGCTCAGTTTGCAGAGGCTTGGGCTCATTGTAGTTCACTGCAGCCCAGGCCCCTGCTGTGCTATGGGGCAGCCCCCGGTGCTCAGTGCAGGCCCACTGCCTGCGGGAGGCTGTTGGCCCCCTCTCCGCCTTCATGGTTGTGCTAACCCCTCTCCCCGTCCTCTCTCTCTTTTGGGACCACACACCACTGTTTCTGAGCTGCCTTTGCCACTGTCGGTAGGAGGGGAGAGGACTGTGGCTGTGGGCCTTGAGGTCCCTTCCCCACTGTGGTGGTGTGGGACATTTATACAGAGTGGATTCTTAATCTCAGGCCATATCTGTTCACTGTGTTTCACTCACTTGTTTTCCATTAGCGTCTTTGGAACCGCGTGGCAGTTTGCCCAAGTCTGTGTGATCAACCTAAAATGCTTGACCCTTTACCAGGAGTATGTTGGTGCTTCAAACTGCTCTTTGTTGAAAAAAGAAAATAAAGCAACCCTCAGTCTCTCTGGGCTGCTGTAACAAAACACCTTAGAGTGGGTAGTTAACAAATAGTGGGAACTTACTTCTCCGAGTTCTGGAGGCTGGAGGTCCTCGACAGAGCCACAGCAAGCAGCCTTGGTGTCAGGCAAAGCCAGTTCTCTGCGTCACAAGGGCTTGTCGTGTGTCTGCATGTGGCTCCAGCACCCTGTACAAGGGCACCAATCCCATTTGTGAAGGATCACTGCCCCCCACCCTGTATCCCTACCATTGCCTTGTGGGTCTGATTTCCACACGGGGATTCCAGGAAGCACAAACTGCAGACACAGCAGCAACTTGTCAGTTCTCGACTGTCACCTGTCAGCTGTGTAGGCCTCAGGCCTACCCAGTGTTTATTATGTGCCTGTGTCAGATGGGGGACTCCTGGCTGGCTGTCTTACAGATAAAGAGGCTGAGACTCAAGGATGGAGAGCCACCTCATCCGAGCCCAGAAACCACATCTGGATTCAGACAGGCTGTGAGTCTTCCTAACCATTCTGCTTCCAGAAAAGTAACACCAACTTCATGGCCCCAAGCAAAACTTAAATCAGGGACTCTGCAGGTGTTCCACTGTCTCTGCCACTACTCCTTCCGCGCTTCTTTCATGTTTTTCCCTTCCTTTCTTTCTTTTTTTTGACCAATGATGTTAATAAATGGACATAAACTAGGGAAGTGGTTCCAGAGTGTGTGGGGAGGCTGACCAGGTGGGGACACACGGGCTGCAGTTAAACAGAAAACCGCTGAACCTTACGGAAGTCTCTCTTGAGGGGTCTGCAGAGTCACCGGCCTTCTTTGGAGAAAGCCCTTCGGTTGTGGCCAGTTTCCTGCCAGGTCCTGCGTGGTTGAGCTGTAGGAGCTCCTCGGGTCCCCAGGGTGGGACCCCATCCCTTGATTCCCTTCCTCCTCTGTCACAACGCCCGTTTTCACAGGAGCGCTGGTTCTGATGACGTCTCACCGGCAAGAAGTGCTCTAGGTGCCAGCAAGTCACCGATGCTGTGCCACGTTGGTGCTCGCCACTGCAGGCCTTTGACTGTGTTGAGGTGACCTCCACTGTGCATGAAGAAGGGGGCAGCACGAACGCGAGCTCGCTGTCCGTTGTTGAAGGGCAGCTTTGTTGTGTGGAGGCCACGCTCCGCCCTCAGAGGCTCCGAGAGCTGGACCTGCATGGGGCTCTGCTCCTGGGGATGACAGACAGCGGCACAGGGCCTTCTGGGGGGCTTCTGCGGGGTTTCTGCAGGGCTGGCGCAGGCGGGACAAGGAGCCCGGCGAGGCGGAGCTGCTCATGTCCGCCTCCAGCTCAGGGGCTGTTTCTCGGGTCTGTGTGGGTTTCCTGGGGGTGCACGTCTGCAGAGCAGGCCATTTAGGTGTTGCTCTGGCAGTGACAGCTGGACCACCCCCGCCTTCAGAAAATCCCTGCCTGGGGTGGGAAATGCCCCCTGCTTCACAGGGGAGCCTGGCTGCCACGTGCCAGGCCTTGTGACTACAGGAAGTGCCTCCACCCACCCCCCTTCAGCCCTCACTTCCAGCAGGTGATCAGGACTCTGGGGGCCGCTGGGTTGGTGCCCTCTGTGATCTGTGTGAGGACTCGGGGGTGAGAGCCCCTGGAGAGGAAGAGAGAAGGCATGGAATGGGCAAGCCAGGGGCGTTAGGAGAGAGATCTCAGGATGAGGATGTTTTCCTAAGTACAACATGATTTAAAAAAACCAGAAAAATAAACCAAGATCAATCAGCCATTAATTAACAGATTTCAGTACAAAATATTTCTTTAAAGTAGAAAGATAGTTGACTGAAAAAGAATTTATGACCCATGAAAGTTCTAGGCCAGCCTCAGCAGCTTAGTGCAACCCTGTCTCAAACAAAATGGGCTTGTAGTGTAGCTCAGTAGCACATACGTTTGTGTTTTATGAAAGGAAGAAGCCAACTCTTTCTTTTCTTTTTTAAAATAAAATATAATAAATGACAATATAAATTGGATATATGAAGATACAGAAGTTACCTTGGGGATTGAACCCAGCAGTGCTCTTCCACTGAGCTATATCCTCTGCCTTTATTAGAATAATAAAAATAATAGAATATTTTTTAAATTTTTGGTTTGTTATATATGACAGCAGAATGCATTACAATTACATATAGAGCACAATTTTTCATATCTCTGGTTGTATACATAGTATATTCACACCATTTGTGTCTTCGTACATGCACTTTGGATAATGATGTCCATCACATTTCCACCATCATTCCTAACCCCATGCCCCCTTCCTCCCCCGCCCTCCCCTCTGCCCTATCTAGAGTTCGTCTATTCCTCCCATGCTCCCCGTCTCTACCCCACTATGAAACGGCTTGATGCTGGTTGTTTTAATGAATTATAATAATACCATTATTTATCAGGTGGTCAGTATGTGCTCAATACTGTTAAAACACTTCATGGACTAGATTTCTTTTTAAAGTCATGTTTGTTGAGATATAAGTTATGTGGTATAATTTGCCCTATTTAGTTTTATAGTTATATGAATTTTGATAACATAAAAATGACAATATAAATATGGATATGTAGTACTATAGTGAAGATACAGAATGTTACCTTGTTCTCCTTTACTTTTTTAAAAAATAGAGAAATTAATTTTGATATATTTTCACTTAACCCAATGGATTACCAACATAATTTGCAAAGAAAATAACTGTTAGTAAGATATTTCATGTTCATTCTTTGTCCTAGTAATTCTTTGGAGTCTAAAGTCTATTTAGCACATAGCACACCTCAATTCAGACTGGACACATTTTGAATACTCAGTGGCTTCATGTAACCAGTGGCTGCCATATTGGCTCCTTTCTCCATCTTCCACCTTTTGGTGAAAAGGTGAAAGATGTTGTAGGCTGCATGATGAGTCCCTTGTTATGTGGTTCCTTGTTGAGTTCCATCAGAAAAGGACACCAAAGAGATGAACTTAGAACATACAAGAGTACAGCGAGGTGTTTTATTCCTCCCTATAAGACTTTATTAGGCTGTGAGTTGGTTTCTACATACTTTTGGTGGGAATAACTTCAGTTAGGTCACCTTCTCCTAATGGCTCTCTCTCCTTTCACCTCGTGCCTCTCCAAGTTTACGGAAGGAACTTTATTTATTCTTATTTATTCATTTGCTTATTATTTTTGAGAAGGGTCTTGCTAAGTGGCTAAGTCTGGCTTTGAACCTGTGATCCTCCTGCCTCAGCCTCCAGAGTTGCTGGAATTATAGGCGTGGGCCACCACACCGACTTGTTTGTTTTACTTATTTGTCTCTGTCTCTCTTTCCCTATCTCTCTTTCTCTCTGTCTCCCTCTCTGTCTCCCTCTTCTCCCTCTCTCCCCCTCTCTCTCCCTCTTCTTCTCCCTCTCCCTCCCTCCGTCCCTCTCTCTGTCTCTCTATCCCCCCCCCCACCCCAGCTATTACACTGCAGCTTTTATGATGAGAGGAAGCAGAGCTACCTCTTCCTGTGTTGTTCTTTCTGATCCCTGTTTGCTCAGCCACCTTGGTGTGGAAATCCCTCCGGTTGGGTGTTGGGTTCTTGTGGAAGACGGCCATTTCTCCAGCCCCTTCTTCTCAATGCCCTTCATCTTTTTACTGTAAAACCTGCTCTTCCAAATTGCTGGTCTCCCCTGCAGCCCTCCAGCGGGGCCTCAGGAGAAACCTCCCCTGCCTTTCTTCCTGGAGGCCTGTGCCTCTGGCAGGGTGGCGCTTCCTCCCCTCACTCCGAGCCTTCACCCTGCCTGCTGCCCAGAGCCCCAGCTGTGGCCCCCCCACGACTTCAGACTGTTTCTGAAGGGCCCACTCATTGCATGACTCCTCCCTGTAGTTCCTCATGATCTCGGTGTAGATTGAGCTGCTCTTTTTCAGCCATTAACTCTACCCTACCACAACTACAGTGCTCTGGCTTTAATTTTATGCATGGACCATTTTCTGGGTCCACCACCTGCTCTTATTTTTTCGGTACTGGGGATTGAACCCAGCATTGCCTAACCGTGGGGCCATATCCCCATCCCCAGCCCTTTTTATTTTTTATTTTTGTTTAAAGAAAGGGTCTCACTAAGCTGCTGAGACTGGCTTTGAACTTCCTGCCTTCGCAGGGATGACAGGTGTGCTTCCTGCGCTTGGCTCCACCTGCCTGTTAAGGGACTACCTTGTGATTGGTTTTGCCCGAGCTTCCTTTTCTTCCCACTGTAGGTTGGGCTGTGCCCTGGAGGTTTTGCAGCTGTTTGGTGAAGGGCAGTGTAGGGTGGGGAGCTGGCTCTGGTCCCTGCTTTCTCAGGAGAGAACTGAACAGAAGGACGGGGTGCTGTTCTTCCCTGGGGCTTGAGTTATAACCGTGGTGCGGTTTCAGCAGTGTCTTGGTTCAGCTCCGTGAGGATGTCTTGTGCAGTCTCCTAGATGTGAAGGAAATAAGTGGGTGCCTCATGAAGGTTCCAGCAGAGTTCCAGAAATGACGTTCTCGGTGGACTGTGCAGAGTGGTGGTAGAGGGAACTGGACGCGCCCTGGAGACGCGCTCCTCGGAGCCTTTGTTCCATGCCGACAGCTTTGTGCACAGGATGCCAGCACTCTGGGAGGGCGAGCTGCGTGAGTGTCACCAGTGTGGTGCAGTCGGTCCCGTCCTGTCCTGAGCACCCAGACTGATTCTAGAGCCACCTGCATTTTCCTTGGATGCCATGTGGTGGGTGGGCGGTTCTCCTTGTCTTACTTCTTAAAAACTCACTCTGTCCAGAAGCGCCCTGGGCATTTCTGAGGCAGAAGCTCTGAGATGCTGCTGCTCACACGTCTGCCCAGAGTGATTGCTGCTGGCTTTGAAGACTTCTGAAGCTCACTGCTGGATCTGCACAACTCCTGTCTCCCAGGGGACAGCACGCCGTCTGCTCAGCGGGTCTGTTTCATGTGGGTGATAATGATTTAACTGGGGTGCTTGGTGAAGCAGGCACAGGAGTTCCAGAGAAGCGTTTACTATCAGAGTAAGCAGTTATGCAAGAAAAGATTATCAACTGTAACGACATGCACAGTCTTTATGGGCATGTGTCTTCTGGGAGGGGAGAAAAATGGTGCGGGGGTACTTAGTAGAAGGAAGCCCTCACATCTGTTGTGACTTGAAAAAAACCCAGACCTCCTTTGGTGGCCCAGTGACTGAGGAGGCCGAGACAGGAGGATTGCAAGTTTTGCCTTGGCAGTTTGGTGAGGCTTCAAGCAACTTATCAAGAACCTCTCAAAATAAAAGTTAAAAGATCTAGGGGATGTGGCTCAGTGATTAAGCACCCGGATTCAATCCTTGGTACCAAAAAATGAAAGGAAACTTTTAAACAAATTGAATCTGGCAGGTGTATCAGTTTCCACGGGTTGCTGGAACAAATCCCTCCAGACTTGAAACAACAGAGATTTGTGACCTTAGTTGAGTCCAGAGGAACCAAATCTGGGGGGTCGGCAGGAGAGTGGCCACGCTTCTCTCTGGCCAGGGGCTG